TACCTAAGGCCCCACAAAGGCACCTTTCAAAGTTAACTTTGTCATTCTCTTTCAACCTTGCCCGACAAACCTTGCCCGACAGGTTTTGCCCGACAAGCCCGCCAGTAAGCAGAAGCCCGACAGAAAGTATCAATCGGCGCCAACCTCACGGGGAGCTGTGTGCTCGTCGGCTAGGAAACATCCCCAACGGACATTCTAGCCACGAACAATATGTATATGTATATGTATGTGTGTGTATGTGTGTGTATGTATATATATATATACACACACACACACACAAACAGCAAAGCTGCATTAGTTTCAATCTAATTAAAACATAAAGTTCTAAGGTAATTGGCACTTAACAATTAAGCATATAACGAATAAACATCTTAATACAAGTTCTCTCAAAAATGACAGATGATTAAACTTGAGAAGTCCTATTTTTGATGTTCAGAACATTTGATCCCAACTGCAGGCGGTGGAGCTTCAAGCGCTTGACGAAACCTCAGATTTCAGTTTACACAAAAATGCATCCATCGAGCGAATCTTGATATAGGGCTGGCTTCCTAAAGATGCAAATGCAAGAGAAAAAAACGAAAAAGTAATACGCTTTTTTAGATGCTACCTTAAGAGTGACATCCACGAGGAGATGGAGCATGAAGTTTGCTCTACAAATGCTTGCATAGATAAATAGACATTTAATAACCTTTGTTCTCCCTTTTCTTCTAGCTGGTTTGAATTATGTAGCAGGTGGTTTTAATGACATGTGTTGGCAAGGAAAATATCAGGAAAGGCATGAGAGATATGTGCGCACTAGATGGGATTTATTGTCTTGCTAAGTTTCTTTTATAATATCCAAATTGAAGAAGTTGAAGTTTTACCATAAAACCACAAATTGGTAATATGAGGAGTAGCCCAACATCTTATAAGCCCATGCAATGTCTCTTTTCCCATCAATGTGAGACTCATTGATAGGAATAAATGGATCACGTGGAACCAGTACATGAGTTGGGGAAGTTCAGTTCATGAGAGCAAATATCAGCTGGCCTAGCCAAGGAAGTGGTTCGAAGGATTCATTACATTGTTAAATTAATTGTGTTGCATTTGAGTTTTTTTTAGAATCATAAGAGATGCACCATAAGATTTGGAGGATTCCATCGAATGTTTCACCTTGAAAGTGACTTTCCAAGAGGGGGGAGCATAAAGATTGCTCTGAAAAGGTTTGCTTGCATCTTGATTGACGGAGTTGATTTTCACAAGTCGGTTCAGATATTGAGAAGATAACGACTAAACTTTTCAACCAATAAAACCCTCAATTAAGGGTGAGCTAACCCATTTAAAACCAGACTAATCTTACTTCGTGTCATGCTTGTGCCGACCCATTTAATAAATCGCACGTAAGTGGTTTCAATGTTTTCTTCAAAATAAAGATACAGTCATCGAGCTAATCTTGATGCAAGGCTTCCTAAAGATGTAAACGTATGACAAGGAGATGATGAAGTAGTACACATTTAGGTTGAATTATAAGAAATGCAACTTGGATGTCATCGAAAGTTTTACCTTGAAAGTGACTTCCAGAGGGAAGGAAGCACCAAGCTGTGTTCATCTCGTTGAGTAGTTAAATTTTCATATATGGATGGTGTGAAATGGTGGAGACATGACAATGATACGAGCTTGGGGAAATTCTGGATTTTCCGGCGAGAAAACCCAGATTCCGACGCTAGCAGAGGCGTCAAAGGGTCGACTCGACCCGAGAACCCATCCCGAATTCGGTAACCCACATTCGACCTGATATGACCAAATCCAAACTTGGATATGATAAGACCCATTTTCAAATCATGATCAAAATATCTGTTAGTTTTAAGGGAATATTCAGTCCCACGACGGAATATTATGCCTCGTTGACTGTTAACTTTGGTTGTTGACTTGTTCGGGTTTCGGCCCAAGACCCGTTACTTCAAATTTGATCATTTGAACACAGTTCCAGGATTGACTGCCACTTGAATGTGTTGCAAACGGAAATCTGACCATTGGTTCATTATAAAAGTGTAATATGTTAGTGTAAACGTAATGTGTTAGCCTTAGGAACTTATAGATCAGAAATCTAATGAGTGGATCTTCTGAAATGGGAAAAATTAGGGTTGTTGATCAAGGGTTGACTTGGGCCAACTTATCCCGAATATTGACGTTTGCATCATTAGAGGCCCACTAGAGCCTTGCAGGTAGAACTTGCCCATCATCACTATTTAAGTGGCATTCAATGTTTAAGTACGACATTCAATGTTTAAGTGGCATATATTGAAATTCTTGTATGAATGGTGAACTATAATTGGCTGGATCTCTTCATAGGGTAAATGGGCAGTTTAACTCGAAAGTTAGATACAGTCATAAGATTAAATAAAATTAAACGGTGTATTATGTCTTCGATTTTGGATGTGATATTTTTATGATTTGTCTTTGGTATAGACTTTACCTGATTTATGAATTATGATTTATGAAGATGATGATTTTATGAACGTTGGAATCATTACTACTTATCTTGTGGCATGCATTTTTGACATGAGCATTTTTGACATCAAGGCATCCTTCCAGCGCTGACACATCCTTACCAAGTAGGTTATCTACTTAGCTTTATCCATAAACTGGTATTAAACAATTGTGCTTTGAGCCATTAGGCCTCGTTTGACATGTCGTATAAGACCATCGGATAATACTAATAATATGAAACCGGTGTTTGGTAAGTTTGGTATTAAATAAGCACCGAATTATTTAATCTAGCCCCACCATTTTAATACCCCTCTCACCCACTTCATTATCCCCTCCACAACCTTGGTATTATTAGTTGAACTCCTACCAAAGAAAAATCACGCTCGCCCTTCTCAGGCATATCTTTCCATCAGCTCTTGTGGGTCGCAACCTTCGATTAACACCAAGTAAATATGAATATAGATCCAGAGGTTACAGATCGAACGATCCACACCAAGCAGATCTGAACAGAGAACTGGAGGTAGCAAATCGAACCCAAATGAGCACCGTGACGTTCGTTCCTGGGCGTTGCGACCTCAGTTTCTATGCATCATGATTCGAATATCTAGGTTTGTGGCTTAATTGCTAATTGATTTTGTTGGTGTGTGGGGATTAAATTCAAAATTGGGAGAGATTTCATGTGGGAGTTGGAAGTTTGAAACCGAATTGCGTTGAGTTGAAGTCTTGAACCCAGGCCTCGTATCTGTCACAATTCCTTGTCATCATTTGCCAGAAACCAGACCCGAGAACCTCACTCTTGGAAACCTGCCGTCACACCCTCTGCTTCAACCTGTACCACTTGAAACTGCCCGTCTGTGCTCCGTGCCGCTACTTGACACCATCCACCCACGTTGGTGTAATGGCTGCTGGGTTCTTTTTACATTGGACAACCTTTTTTTTTTTTTCCTATTCTTTTCCTTTTCCATTAATCATCAAACTGGGTTCTTTTTACAACTTTGTTTTTTGTTTTTTATTCTTTTTCTTTTTCATTAATGATTAATTTTTTTCTCTTAAAAAAATAATAGTTCTAAGTTCTCTTATCCGGTACCGTACAAACACAGTATAAATAATACTACTATTATTCTGATATTGTACCAAACATCCGATTAATTAGTCAGTACTATTTGATGGCAAATTATCTTATCTTACTGAAATAATCAATACAGTTCGAGCTATCAAACGATGCCTTATTATGCATGTAATTGGGGGTCAGAGACCCATTAAGTGTGGCCTATCGGGGATGTATTGATATAAATATGATTTCCTGCAGGTGTTTTGTTTGGGCTTATCCTTATTTTGAGGGAAGTTTTGCCGAATTTTCGGTAATGTGTAGATAAGTTTTTCTCCATTGTACAATTTTTCACAGTGTAGATAAGTTTACGTCCTGTAGAAATTTAGGGAGTAGAAAAATGAGACACAACTCCACTTCAATCCTACCATTATGTTGCTGCCGATTTTCCCACTAAATTGACTAGAGTCGTACTTTTTTTTTTTTTTGAAACAAGGAACATCACATTCCAAAGCAACAACCACCAAAAACAAGGAAAGTCAGACAACCTGACCAACACAACACAACCCAGCGAGATAGGGAATATAGAAGACGCTGCCTAAATAAAGCTAACACGTCATCCCCACCCCACACCAAGCCGACCTAAGAGGGAGGACAAGGTAAACCATCTTTATTCAAAATCCTCACCAACGAAGATGGGGGTCTATCGACCCAGGTAGATTCGCTCATCTCCGTTCCACGAAATCTAGCGACAAAGTTCACCGCTTCATTCCCTGTCCTAGGCACCCAAGACCACATGCAGTTAATAAAACGACACCCCATCTGTCGTATTCGACTTAAAATAGGGTATGTCTTCCAACTGCAATTTTCAACACTACCATTTAAATAAGAAACTAAATGCTTACAATCTGATTCCACCATGACTTGAGAAAAGTTGCATTGTTGTGCCAATAGACACCCCTCAAGGATCGCTTGAGCCTCAGCGACTTCAGGACAGGAGGCGTGCACATCATTTCTTCGAATCATTAAACATCTTTTCCTCGAGTCTCTCGCGACTACCCCCACAAAACTTTTTGAAGGTCCCGGTTTCCAGCTCGCATCAACATTAATTTTTACCATTTGGGAAGGGGGTGGAGACCAAGTACTAGGGGTGGGCAAACGGGCCATGGGCCCGCGGGTAGGGGCGGGTATTGGCGGGTACGGGGCGGGTTCTGTTTTTTAATAGGGGAAACGGGGCGGGGCGGGCCGGTGCAATGGCATTTTAGGGTCGGGCCGGTTCCAAATGTATAGAAAAACGGGGCCCCGGACCGGCCCGTTTGTAATTGAAATGGACAGCCCAGATTGAAAATAAACCTACCTTCCTATCATGACCGTTGATTTTTACCCTAGTATCTCTAAATCTGATCGAGTCTCTCTCTTGATCCGAGTCCTTGACCTCTCCGTCTCTGACCTCGTCCCCTCTCCTCGCCCCTCCATTCCACAGTTCCACCACCCACCTCCTTGCCCACCTCCGACATCACCGCCGTCGTGAGTCTGAGCCCTGACGACCACCAGAGCTGATCTTCTTCTCGATTATTCTCCTCGACGACATCTCACCCTAGACCTAGAGAACCCAGGAACCCGCACCACCCATCTTCTCGATTCTCTTTCTCTCCTTCCCGACGACATCACCGCCCTTGCGATCACTAACACTCCACCGCCGTTGCCAGTTCAGGTGAATTCTTTAACTTCTTTTTTTTTCTTTTTTTTTATAATTTTTTTATAGGTTCTTTAACCTCTGATGTTTGTAACTTTTTAGTTGAACTTTGATCTATTGGGATGTATCATGTATGTAATCTATGCTCAATCTATTGGGATGTTCATGTTTGTTCTTGCTGATTTGGTGGATTTTCTGAATTTTTTAGCTTGGGATGGGCATAATGTTATTCTTGGCTGCCTGTACAAATAAGCGTACACATTCTTCATATTCATTTACTTTTGTGTACACTGTTTGGATGACATATCTATGCTTGTACCAGGATATCAAGCGACACAAGGAATACCGGGATCTCAAGGGACACAAGGAGTTGATTCATTGTCAGTTAGAACCAGGTACTTCTCTTTCAATTGTTTCTTTTCTTTATTTACACAGGATTTAGTTAGTCACTGTATTTATATATGGCTCATTATATTTATTTTTCTTATTATTCTCCCCGTTTGGTATGCAGGGCTGTGGACAAAATTTTAGAAGGAAAAACTAGAAAGCTATGTGCCCGAATGTTCTATGAAACACTGGTAATCTTTTGAACCATATCTGTCTCTTAGAAGCACAAGTTTCTCAAGTCAATTTTACATCAAGTCAAATGTTTTGGACTCAAATTATTTCTATGTTAAATTGGTTTGTTATCTGTTTTCTTATACTCTCTGAACAAGTAAAAATATGCTCCTTTTTTTTCCCGGGTCAAGGAAACTTATACTGCCTGTAGAAGTACTAATTGAGCACGTATTGGTATATAACTACTAATATGATTGTTCATTGTCACTTTCAGGTTTTGAAGACTTATGGTCTTGTTGATGTAAAACAAGAAGTACCTTATGGTGACATTATTTTGACATTGAACCCAACCCTATCAAAAGCTCAAATTTAAAAATAGGATATAAGGTAATTTAGAGCATGCTTATCGTTGCAATATTTTTCCTGGAATCATATACACTTTGATATGTTTCAGTATTCGGGCTTTCTGATATTTGGCCACTCTGTAAGATTTGGCATGAGTAGCAAGTTTTGTCTAATCACGGTGTTTTAACCACAAAGGTAGCTACACTGTACTTGAGGTAAGTGGTGATAACAAGTTTTGAGAAGTTAGTTCTTTGATGAGCTGTACTTGAGGTAAATTGGTGTGCATATTTCAAAATATCATTATTTGATTAATGAATACACTTTCATTATTTAATTTTTACAGATTTTTACATAATGTCTCAATCTCAAAGTCAAAGTAGCCCTAGTACCAATGTAGCATCATCTACGGCTACATCACCATGTCCTCCACAACCCACACAGGAAAAAACATCAATGCCTCCCCCAAAACCCACCTCCTCTAGAAAAAGAAAAGCACCACCTATTCCAAAGACAAAACAACCAACTATATTAGCTTCAATAGAGAGATCTTCTTCTGAGAGATCTTGGGTTTGGGATCATGTCACTAAGTGTACCGTCTCGGAAATACAAGCAGTAGAAAAGGATGGAAAGAAAGAGATGGTGGAGGTACAATTATTGAAGGCTAAGTGTAACCATTGTAGTGCCCTTTTTGCATGTGATACTAGTGGGGGTGGAACTAGTACTTACATTAAACATATCAATAAACATTGCAAGTCATATAAACCAACTGATGAGTTGCAAAAGGTTCTAGGGAATTCTGGACCTTCTGGGGACGTTAAAAACATGCTTGTTGCTAAAGGGTGGAGCCAAGAAGAGGCAGTGGAGGTATTGTTGAGTATATTGTGCTCGAGGAGGTACCTTTTAGTGTTGTGGAGACTGAGGGGTTTAGGCGGATGATGTACAAAGTTCAGCCTAGGTTGCATGTTCCATCTCGAAGAACTATTGTGAGGGACTTATTCAATATGTATGATACCATGAAAGATCAGTTAAAAAAGGAGATACATAACCATAGAGTGAGCTTGACTACTGATACTTGGACAAGTGTGCAAAATTTGAACTACATGGTGCTAACTGCTCATTTTGTGGATGACGAATGGGATATGCACAAAAGGATTCTAAATTTTTGTTTGATTTCAAGTCATGAAGGCAAAGAAATAGGGAAGCTAGTTGAGCAATGTTTGGTTGAGTGGGGGATTGAGAAGGTGATGTGTATTTCAGTTGACAATGCATCGGCTAATAAGGTGGCAATTGAGTATATTGTTCGTAAAATGCAGAAATGGCCTAATAGCAAAATTGTTATGAATGGCAAGTTTATGCATGTGAGGTGCTTAGCCCATATTATCAACTTGGTAGTGAAAGATGGGTTGAAAAGATTAGATACAAGTGTTGATGCTCTTAGAAATGCCGTACGGTTTGTGAGATCAAGTCCTCGAAGGTTTAGTTATTTCAAGAAATGTGTGGAGAATGAGAAGTTGGATGGTCGGGGTCTAGTTGTTATGGATGTACCTACTAGGTGGAATAGCACATACATGATGCTAGAATCGTGCTTGAAGTTTAAAAAAGCATTTGAAAGGATGTTCGACGATGATGAAGCGCCAATATATACTCCACATATTTCGGGGAAAATGTGCTTAATGATGAAGGAGAAGAAGTTGCGGGTAAAGGGAGGGTTGGGCCACCGAAGGACAAAGATTGGGATAGTGCAGAAATATTTGTGCAATTTTTGAAGGTCTTCTATCTTATAACTTTAAAAGTTAGTGCAAGTAATTATCCGACATCTAATACAGCTGTTCATGATGTCATTGCTGTGGAGAGAGAGATTGAAAAGCTTTTTTTGCCTGAATATATGCAAACTGGAGGAAGTGTTGAGGTGGTGCTACGTGACATGACAATGAGTATGAGAGCCAAATATCGAAAGTATTTTGGTTCAATTGAGTCCCTTAATCAAATATTTGTAGTTTCCCTTGTCTTAGACCCAAGGTTCAAATTAAGGCACTACATGCACTTGTGTAGAAAGCAATTACACCTTCCCGAAGAAGAGATTCAAAAGAAAAGTAATGAAGTGAAGACATTGTTGAAGGCGATGTGTGATGAATATGCTTACCAAGCTTTCAGTTCACAAACACAACAAAAGGGTAGAGGAGGAGATTTAGTTGTTGGTGATACTACTTGTTCAAGGGTAAAACCATCATCTAGTGTACTAACAGAAAATCCAATGATATTTAGTCAAATGATGGATGATTGGGAGAAAGAACTAGAAGACACTGAGGATACAAGCTCAACCATCTCATCAAGTGATGCTGAAATTGAAGCTCTTCAAACAACTCAAATGAATAAAGGAAAATGAATTGCGGTAATATTTTAAACTTAAATGAATATGCTTTACTTTTCAATGATTCAATGAGGATAATATGATGATGGACGTTAATAATATCAAGTTTATATTTTATTTTTCCTTACAGATTCAATGAGGAATGATGTTGGAACTTGGATGTTGGAAATTTGGAATTGGATGTGGTTTCCTATGTTCATTTGGAATTTATTGAAACTGTCATGTTTATGTTGTTTTGAATTATTTGATTTTTGGACTTTGGAATTTGGATGTCTTGGATTAAGTAGGTTTTGAATATTTTGTATGTTGATTCGATCTTTAGATGTTGCTATAATGTTATTTTGGATGTATTGAATATGTGCAATTGTAAATTTGCACAGATTGCAAATTTGTGCAATTGCAATCTGTGCAGTACTGCAGCAATCTGTGGTTTTTTTTTTTTTTTTAATTTCAATCTGTGCTTTAAACAGGAAAAAAAAAAAAAAAAAGAACCCGTGGACCCGGACCGAACCGGCCCGTTTCAACCGGGCCGGGTAAGGTCCGGTTCCTATTTTAAGATTTGTAATGCCCGGCCCGTCTCCCTTTATTCCGGATCCGGTCCGGTCCCTTCAAAAATGGGCCCGGCCCGGCCCGTGCCCACCCCTACCAAGAACAATCCTGCTGAACAGTAGACAGTGCATTTCGTTGGATAATGTTCCTATCTCTCAGTTCACTCACCGTTAACCAAATAAGTAAGTACAAATGGTAACTTTGTAATTTAGCACAAGGTGATGTGAGAATGTGAAGTTAAAATAGTCTCACATCTTTAAAAGGAAAAACATTGTGAGGATTTATAAGAAGTTGTGTTACTCGTAATATTGACAATTGATTTATGTTGGAACATCAGTTGTTTTCACCCGTCGTTTTCCCAATAGCCATCTACAACTATTAATTAATCTTAATCCATCAATTTAATCATCACGTCTTCGACGTTTCTAGCATTTGCAGGTGATCACTCCACTGCGCATTTCACAATAAAAGAAAGGTTCCATAATTTCCACTTTTCAATTTATGGGTTTTCTTTTTAATCTTGATTTCATTGTGGATTACTGGCTTAATTATCGGTTTAATTGGTCACCATTACTGATCTATTACATTGGCTTAAACCCTCTTGAATTTGAAGGTAAGTTGTTAGCACTCTTGAATTGTTGTTCTTAGAATTTTCAATTTTGATGGTACTAATTAAAAAGTAATGCTGGTTGCTGCTGTATCTGTAAATGTTTGTATGCTCTGCGGCAGTCTCTGCTTGTTCGTTGTAATCTCGATTTTCAATGGCGGAATTGGTTAGGCCGATGTTGTACAATTGCTGTAATTGCCGAAACAATGTTTGTCCCCCCCCAAAAAAAAAAATTGCCGAAACAATGTAGCCCTTCACGACGATGTCATTTCGAAGGTCTTTTCCACTTAAATAGAGTCGGTTGTATGAATCATAGAATGTCATTACGTTCAATTATGCGCCACGTCTTCTGTTAAAACTTTATAATCAATAGAACAAATATACACGAGGTCCAATTACAAGATTGCACAATGAAAAATATAGACTCCAAAGCAAAACAAGAAAGTGCCCAAAACATGAAGCCCAAAAACAGAAACACACCAAGACAACAAACCTAGCCTCCTGCTACCAGTGCCACCGCCGCCGCCAGAAGAGTGCCTCCCAAATCGAAATGAGAAGGATCGTGAAAGACATGGAAATGTATGGACGGCAAGGAATGGAGGAGAAAGCGGATCGAATGTGGGGGCTTAGAAAGATGAAATCGACAACAATTGGGTTCGAAAGACAGCGAAGATCGAGATGGCAGGCAGGGGGGAAAATGAAGCAGAAGGAACTGGAAAGAAAGAACAAAGGGAAAAGAAAGAGCAAGGTGGACTGCTACCGACCCTGCCCACGGCTAGAACAAGGTTTGACAAGAAGGAAAACACTCACTCTCCGTTGGGAAGAACTCTCCGAAAGATTTTTTAATGTGACCGGAACATGGAATGTTATTATACAATTAATGAGTTATGTATGTTAAATAATTAATAACTTAAAAAGTAAAAATTTTCACCATTTACATAAAAATATATGCTATACCGGTCATAATGAAAAATTTCCTCTTGAGAACTTTCTGTGCTATGAATGAGCACTTAGATGACGTACATAATTTAAAGTAAAATAAATAGTAGCTGACCTATCTCATGCCAAGTGTTAAGGAAGATGCTTCAAACAATTCAAGGAAAGAAATATCGCAATATGAGATATAGTGGGTTTGAATTGTTTGTTTCCTGTCCTTTTTGATCTCTTCCTTCGCTGGCCCAATTGATATTATCTCCATTTTAGAATCGATATTTCTCAGCCTATAAATTATTTCCAGCGGATCCAGCCCTTGTCCTGCCACTGTTAGCCTTCGGTTCTTCGAATCCCAACCGATCGATTCAATCCTTGCTCGTCCAAATCAACCGAACAATTAAAGGAAAGAAAAATGAAACGGTTTTATTACATTAGAACTGGCCTTGAATGAAGTGATGTAAACAAAACTAGGCAAGAAATATCTTTCCGGGCTTTCTTCTTTTCATAATCATTAAAACTGGCCTTGAATACCAGCTTCTTCTGCATATATGTCTGCGTAGACTTGACGGGAAACTAAATTGAAAGAAAGAGAGCCTGTTAAAGTTGGATAAGCACCTGAGCCATATTGCTAACGGTATGAACACGTTTGCACAAACAAACAAAAAAAAAACAGCATTAGAATTTGTAGGCGTTCATTGCAGACTAAGAACTCACTTAGTGCTAGTGTTAGCTGTTTGTTTTAGTCATGG